ATACCACCTTCAAGGCGGCAGGGAGTCCTGAATGCTCAGCCATGCCAAACAGGCCCTATGGGTCCTGCCATGTCATGGCTGTCCCAGTTGAACATTCACCTATCATGTTACTGAACACTCTGGCTGACCTCAACCAGAGAGTCGTGTTGCTAAGGAAGCTTGGAAGAGGGAGGAGGACTATTGCACTCAACAAGCAGGCACTCTGGCTGATGTCAATCAGAGTGTCCAGGAGTACAGTAGGTGAATGTTGCTTGCTGCTTGGAGCAGCTGTGACACAGAGGACGATGATAGGAGACTGCCATCCTTCATCCCCAGGTTGTCTGAGTACACAAAATAAAGAAAAACAGTCAAGGCAGCTACCGCCTGTTCTGATTGAGTAGCAGCCCAGCTATCCTGACAGCCACTAATTCAAGAGAAAGCCTAAATTCTGTGTCAGGACTCCAGACAGGGTCCATGTACAGGGTTCATTTGCCTTAATGTGGCCTTGTCTCACATCTTAAAAAATTGTAGGCTGCTCCAGAGCTTCTAGAATTTGAGGTTAGTATAAACAACCGGGCTGTTTCCTATTTGAAAGCAGCAGTGGCTGTCCGGACCTCCATCCTGCTTTCCCCAGACTCAGGCAGACTGGGGACTGGGGATGTCACATTCCCCTGTTGTTATGGGCTGAGCAGAAACCAATAGTCAGAAAATGGCTGTAGTTCCTGCTCAGTACCTATAGCGATGATAGCCAGAGCAATTAAACATTTTCTTGTGTAACTTTGTGGCTCCAGCTATCATCCCCTTATGTGCCATGTAATGGTCACTAGCAAGGCCAGATCAACAGAGGTATGGTAAAGATGGCAGTTCAGTGGTGCCAAACTGTTTCTGGTACTGCTAACCCATGCAGGTGCCATTCAGCCACCCCTGGAGAACCTAGGAAAGGCACTAACACCCCCCCCCCCCAAATATTTTTGTCAAAATATATTAATTAACATGAGACTCTCCTTTCTTGTACTGCCAAAGCAGTATCATTGGAGAGTTGAGTGAAAAGATGTCACAAAGTGTATTTTGACATGGCAGCTTCTCTCTTGCATAATAAATCATTTCACCCATCTTCGGATCACTATATTTGGCATTCATGCCCTGAAATTGCGAACTCTGGTTTTAATATATTTAGATTTTTAAAATTCTTTTAAAAATGGGTCAAACTTTTGCTGGTTATATTACACTAGCTGTTCTGCTTTTTCCATGGATCTGCCATGATGGAAAGAGGTGGCAGACTATATTTTCTGGATCTGAGGAGCCTTCTCGTGTGCCTTGCAGCCATTTTCCATCTGGTGATGCCATGTATACAGTTGACCCTTCACATTTATGGGTTTAACTTTTGCTGATTTGTTTATTCTTGGGTTTGATTAATATGTTCTCTCTATGAACCTTTGGATCCTCCAGCATGGGAAGTTGATCATAGAGTCATGCTGGAAGACCTAGAAGTTACTAGCTATCAAGGGAATTGCCTAGTTAAAAGCACAACAGAACATCCACGTCTTTAAGTCCTTGCGGAAGGTGGGCAGGAAGGGTGCTAGCCTGATCTCCTTGGGGAGGGAGTTCCAGAGCTGGGGGGGGGGCACAGCTGAGAAGGCCCTTTCTCTTGTCCCCACCAGATGAGCCTGAGCCAGAGGTGGAAGTGAGAGAAGAGCCTCCCCAGAGGATCTTAAAGAGCGTGTGGGTTTGTAGGAGAAGATGTGGTCATGAAGATAGGCAGGTCCCGAACCATTTAGAGCTTATAGGTAATAATTTGCACCTTGAATAGGGGTATAATATTATCCTTCAAATATTTTTTACTTTAAGAAGACTACCTATTTTAATTACTCCACAGTCAAGGGAGACAGCTGTCCTAGAACAATATTCTTTTATCTTTATTTACCATAAATGTTTTTATCCTCTTTTCCTCTAACATAGAATGGCCAACTTTCAGAGGTCAGTGGGTGTGGGGTGTTACCTAAAGGTCAATTATCTGGCTATTTTATGGTGCGGCGGGGGGGAGGGGAGGCTTCTTCTGAGTAGCCCAGGGGTTGCTGAGCATTCTCTGAGGACTATAAAATGGCCTTTGGGGTTGAATGCTGCCTGTAGGACACACCTTTACCATTTCTCATTTATGGATCCATAAATACTATTTGTTTGGCCTCTATCCTAGACCTCATTTATGCAACAGTACATGAATGAGGATACTACCAAAGTCTTCATGACCTAGCTGTGTTGTAAGTCACCCTGCCCTGAATCCTGCACAAACCAAGAAGAAACACCTGTTCTGTACTGAGGAGATAAAAAAAACAAAACAAAAAGGGGGATGAACAGGTCGATCCCCATTGCAGCCCATTCAAGGACATTAGAATGCACTGAAGGGTATTTGGCCAAAGTACAAAACATCTGGAAGACGTTCTCTCAGCATAATCTGTCTCACAAAGTTGTTGCTTGACTATCTGTATATAATTTCTAAATTGAATCCAAGTCTAGCAGTGGGATGTACTGTTGCTGTAGAGTATGAAAGAAACAAAGAATGTTATCACAACATGCAGAAGGAACTTGTACGTGCATGAGCTGACTTTAATGAAGTTCAGTTAGGCAAAAAGTCAGTTGAGTGAGTTTTGTTTGAAACTGGTATTTGTCTTAGAACACAGTGGTGGCCATTTTGTTAGTGACATATGCATATGTATGTTGCTCTGTGCATTATAGGGTGAGGAGACATTTGAAGATGAACCTACAATTTCAGAGAGTTAACTGGAAACTGCATTCAGAGAACTTGGAAGAAATAAATCATCAGGAACTGATAGCGTAGCAATAGTGCTGAGACTGAATCTATTGTCGTTCTAACTAAAAGCTGTCAATAAATATGGGAAACAAAAGAATTGCCCACAAATTGCAACCATTGAATATACATTTTGGTCCCCAAGAAGAGACAACCAGGGATTGCAGCAACCATAGGATCATTGCTTTAATTTGCAATGCAAGCAAAGTGATACTCACAATTCTGCAACCATGATGTTTACTATATATGGAGTGAGAAATATCACATGTCCAAGCTGCGTTCAGGAAAGGTAAAGGCAGAAAGGATCATAATGCAAACATACACTGGATGATGGAGTACACCAAATGTCTTCAGAAGAAAACCAACCAGTGCTTTATAGACTATAGCAAATACTTTGATAATACTAAACATAGATAACTCTTGATTGAAATGAATGTTCCACGACCTATGATTGTCCTGATACTTAGCGTGTACTCAGGACAAGAGGCTACTGTTAGGACAGAATAGGGAGAAACACAATTACAATTGGTCAAGAAGGTCAGGCAAGAATGCATTTTATCCTCTTATTTTGTATGCTGAATATATCACATGGAAAGCAGGACTAGACTTGAAGGAAAATGTAAAAATTAGAGGAAGGAGCATCAACCATTGAAAACATCAAGATGTTTTATTTTGATAGGAGTAAAATAAATTTATTTGAAATATGGTACTGGAAAAGAGTTTTAAAGATACTGCAGAATACTAAAATGAAAAATAAATAGGTCCTAGATCAAATCAAGGCTGAACTCTCTTTCTAGAACCAAGATGACTGGATCACGACTGTCATACTTTTTAGACATATCATGAAAAGATATGACTTGCTAGAAAAGACAATAAAGCTGGCAAGGCAGAAGACAATAGAAAAATAGGGAGATCACATTACACATGGATAGACTCGATCAAGAAATCTGTACAGCCTGAATCTGCAAGACTCGAGCAGTCAAAGATTTACCATAAGTCAAAGTTGACAGCAGAAACCAGAATGCCACAGGAAAATGGAGGAGCTCACCCTGGTATATATAGATCAGCTTGGCAAAAAGACATGTGATCTGCTTTCTTGCTCTGATTGGTTCAAACAAGGCTAAGGGAGAAAAGGAACCGAAAGCAGCAATTTCCGGCTGTCATGTGGTCTATTTTGGCCGCGTAAATTCGAGCCCTACCACCCGTCCCGTTTCCAGACATTTGGTTGCCAGATCTGCCAAATGTCCCAGATTCCATTTCGAAAAACAACACCGTGCACAGCCTTAATATGTTCTGTATAGGGATGCTCTTCAAAATGACCACTCTTGCAAAGCTACAACTTGAAAAGCTTCAAAGCTACAAGTGAAGATGAACTTACAAGAGTGTATTTTAGAGACTATATAACACTGATTTGAAGGGGGCATACCATTGCCTTCATCTAAGGCTGAGGAGGTGTGACTTATCCAATATCACCCAGTAAGTTTCAAGGCTAAGCATACCGAGTCCAGGTCCAAGCTGTATGTATTGTTCAGCTCTGTCACCTAATCCTAACATAATCAGGAGAACCAGTGTGGTGTAGTGATTTTGATTGTTGGACTAGAACTCTGGGACACCAGGGTTTTAATCTCTGCTCACTCAGTGGGTAACCTTGAGGAAATCACACTCTCTGTCAGCCTTAGAGAAAGGCAATGGCAAAGCTTGCCAAGAAAACCCTAGGATACACTACAAGTCAGCATGAAGGAACCACAACACCATCAACAAAACTAAAGCAGACTCATTAAACCAATTGTTAACCTGAAAGCCAACACTTATGTAAGTTCCAGTGATTCAATTGTTCTACTCTATTTGGGAATATTAACAGGATTCCTGCCGATGTGTGCTGTGGGTGGTTTCCACCCCCAAAAATTAACAAATGAAATAACAAGTATTGGGGAAAAGGAGTTTAGTATGAAAAAAATCAACATGTGTTTAAATACACTCTGCAGCTGTTAATTTATACGATCTCAGCATTGCATTTCATGGAATTCAGTACAAATTTTGTAGAACATGCCAAATGTACATGTAGAACTAACAGGGTCATGACATACCTGACCCAAATAAGCAAATTTTCCCCCTTTTCAATGCCGAAAAATTGGGTGCATAACTTGAAACAGCCTCCAGGCAGCTTTAACTTGCAAAATTGGCACTTCACACAGCTGATCATACTAAGACTTACTTAACTTGGCAGCAAGAGAGCAGTCATATTTTTCACATGGATGAACTGTTCTTGAAAAATTTCTCCAAGAAACAGGCTTTTCCACATCAGGGATTTGGGTCTCTCTCCTCTACTTTCTTTGCAATAACAGATATAGATATTGCTTGTGATGCTGTGCATATAACAGGAAACTGAAAAGCTGCTTAATGGTGATTCTAGACTCTGGATGTACTTTGTCTTCACTGTAAAAGAACAAGAAATAAATAAGATAATCAGGATGTTTTCCTTTTCCCTTTACTCTCTTTCCCTGAATACATAAGGAAAGGCTGCAGCGGCTCCCTTGATGTTCCACTGTTCAGATTATTTGTACCCGAAAGAAGAATGAGCACAATGTGTGCCAACAAGAAGTTGTTTTGTCAGTGGTGGCCTCGCACTTCAATTGGACAGTAAATCCTTTCCATAATTTAGTGTGAGCTTTAAGACCACTATTTCAAGTGCAGAATCCTGTCTGCAAAACAGGTTCAGCACCCAGGACAACTCCTTTAAAATCCAGATTAAAACCTGAATTAAGTGCCCTACTGACATGGAATCACTGTGGGATCCCACCACACTCAGCCTGCAGCCACAATAGGACTCATGGCTGGAGTGCATAAGCACCCAGGACAACTCCTTTAAAATCCAGATTAAAACCTGAATTAAGTGCCCTACTGACATGGAGTCACTGTGGGATCCCACCACACTCAGCCTGCAGCCACAATAGGACTCATGGCTGGAGTGCATAAGTTGTATTGTTTAATGATATCTAGAACTGGCATTTCTCTGGGGTTGGTGGTATTGTTTGGCTGCCAGTATTGAGAACAACACATTTTACAACCCTGTGTGACCTGTTTTCATAACTCAAGGGGTAATTTAATATCTGTGCAGTCTTAGCATGTGAAGAAGATGTGAAGGAGAAATCCCTCATAGAACATGAATAGGCCACAAGCAATGTACTTGTAAGTCTGCAAAATTGAGGATCATAAAACTTTTTAAAGAAATGCATGCTGGTTTTGTAGGAACTCCAAATCCAAAAATGACCTCAGGTTTGTTCCATTGTGTACAGTTTTTTAATTCACAACTTGTTTTCATATTGTAATATGTTGCAATGAAATTAGCAATGTAATTAGTAATGAAGTTTGTGAAAGAACTGTGTGGTACAATGTTTTTATTGTATTTGTAAAATAAATTGGAACCCCAAAATACATTTAAAAGAGCTATAATACTAAAAAAAAAATTACATGCCCATGAATCGTTTCATGTATTGTATTGCTATATTATCTATTCATTTGTTGTTCTTTTATGAATATAGATAGCTTCAGAAGAAGCGGTTAAGAGTATATATAGGCAGAAAGGCATTGGGCCTCAAACTGTGATAACATTTAGTTTCATTAAAAAGGGGTTGGTGGGGAGGGACTATGGCCCCCCTGGAAAATCAGGTGATTGCAGACCTCTATGGATGCCTCTGTCCCAATTTAGAGGCTACTTTCATTTCCTTAAAAATCCTTAAGGTTTGCTTATGCAATGACTTAAACCTTCTGTTAAATGCAAGGCATGGATTCATAGCCAAAGGCCTGATTACACATGTAAAGATCTCTTGTATTTTACACCAGGAGCCCATTCAAACTACACAAATACAATGGCAAAATCCCATGGTATCCTGGGACTGGCACATTAGGAGAATTTATAAATCTTGGAGGGCTCTAGTGTTTCCATAGACTACAAACTCCAGGATTTCATAGTGTTTTACCAACATAGTTCTTGTGGATTTTGTTGATATTAACTGTCCTGAAGTACACTTTGACTTATGGAGATCCCATGAATGAGATACCTCCAAGTCACTCTGTCATAAACAGCACTGCTCAGATCTTCTAAACATAGGTCCTTGGCTTCCCTGATTGACTCTATCCATCTGTAATAAGGCCTCCACTTGCCAACACTCTTATAACCCACCACACATTATTATATTTTCTAGTGATTCGTGTTTTCTCATGGTATGTCCAAAGTATGACAACCTCAGTTTAGTCATCTTTATGGATTTATGAAAAGTTCAGACTTGATTTGATCTAGCACCTGTTTATTTGTGTTTTTAGCATTCCACAGTATCCGGAGAACTTTTTTCCAGCATCATATTTCAAGTGATTTTTGGTCTTATAAGCTTTGTTCACTGTTCATACTTTAGTAGTCAAAGATACATCTTTACATTTCAGGAACTCATCTAGTTCCTTCATAGCCCTTCCATGTCCTCAGGTACATCTAACATTTTAAAATTAATTCAGTTTGACACCAGTTTAATTGCTATGGCTCAATGCTGTAGAATCATGGGAGTTTTACTTTGGTGAGACACCAGCACTATTTGGCAGAGAAGGCTAAAGACCTCATAAAACTACAACTCCCGTGATCCCATAGCATTGAGCCACTGTGAACTGCCCTCAGTACCCTTTAGAGTTGAGAAGAGTGGTATACAAATACTGCAAATAAATAAATAAGTCAATGTGGTGTCAAACTGCACTAATCCTACAGTGTAAATGCCCGACTGCTCACTGGAGGAAAGTATATTAGAGGCAAAGATTTAGTACTTTGGCCACATAATGAGAAGACAGGAAAGCTTAGAGAAGATAATGATGCTGGGGAAAATGGAAGGGAAAAGGAAGAGGGGCTGACCAAGGGCAAAATGCATGGATGGTATCCTTGAAGTGACTGGCTTGACCCTGAAGGAGCTGGGGGTGTCCACAACTGACAGAGAGCTCTGGCGTGGCCTGGTCCATGAGGTCATGAAGAGTCGGAAGTGACTGAATGAATAAACAACACCAAAAAATGTATTCCTAGTCTTCTGATTTTTCACTGCACTCTCATTCTGATTAAATTTAGAACCAGTATATTTGTGAAGTGTGAAGAGGCACTCATTTACATTAGAGGGGATAAAATAAGCTAATGTAGTTCCCTGCAACTGTGTTGGAGGAGGGGATGGTTCAGCCACAGTAGTAGGAATCATTCCCTCCCCAATAGGCATAGGCAAAAGCAAGCTGCGATAGCATGTTCTAGCTTGTGTGTTCTTCCTAAGAAAAAACTTCTGTCATCGTGGCCACACTCTATGTTGCATGACTCTGAAATATTTGAGGGTATGAAGTCATCTAAGGCTGAATTCAGACAGTTTGCAGACCTCATCACATTGATTTCTTGCTCTGTCCTAGGACACTTCCAGGGCGGAGTCAGAACAGAGACTGCCCGAGTCCTTCAAATGATGTAGAGCTACTTCCGGTGGCTCTGTCCTGGAAGCATCCTTGGACAAAGCCCAGACAAAGCCCAGGGTCAGCAAGGGAGAGGGAGAGCTGGGCGGCAACACTTTCTCCCATGTGATGGGAAAAGCAGCAATGCGGGGTGCAGGGCGACGCTTCCCAGCTAATCCCTCCTATGTCACCTGTGTTTGGGACCTCAATGTGATGAGGTCCACTTGCTATCTCTTCTTTAAATGGCAATTCCAGTGTTTCATATTTGTTTAAATCATTTAAAATAAGCAATCAAAATGAATTAAAAATAAGTTACGTGTGAGAATACATATATATCTAGCGAATTTCAACCACATGTCTGATTTTTATATAAAAGAAGAAATCATAATAAATGACATAAGAATTTCTTGGCTTTTTATCATCCAGCCCTGAAGAAATTACCAGAATACAAGTCGTCATAATGGCTTATGCTGAGTAGGGCTCCTGGGAGGTGCAGAAAACATCTGAAACTTACCCCAGATTTAAACTCACAACATCAATCATAGAAACTGGAATCTTTCCTTGCTTCATGTTCCTGAAACAATTAGTTCGGAAACAACCAGGAGTTTAACATGGTGCTCTCACCTTCCCTTTATAAATATTTACTCTCTCAGGGTCAATACCTCTGGCTAAGTATAGTGCAAATGAAAGCAGCTATTATTAACACTCAGCAGCCGATCAGTCTTATGCACAGCTGGGTGCTTTAATATAAAACCAGGATCTATAAAAAGGGAGAAATCAGAATGCAGTGGTTTGGCTTCGGAGCCTCACCAGATTTCAGCAATTCTGTTGTTCTTGTGCCAAACATGAAGCTGTGCACACATGCTCTACGCATAGGACTTTGTTTTGTCAACACCCACTGGTTCTAGGATTCCTCTTTCTGGTCCTCCCACTCTCACAAATGACAAGCAAGCACCACATGTTTGTGAAATCATGTGGGCTCAAACAAACACAAAAAGAATAACCCATACCGAAACAATTACAGCTCACTGGTAATTACCTTTCTAAAAGAGAAGTATGCAAGTGAGTTACTCTCAGTGCATAAGCCTTTTTGGGAACATGTGCTTCTCACCTTTGGCTCCCAATGACTGCCTGGCACCTGTTCTGTAATCTGCTGGAAAAGCACATGTTTGAGAGGTCAAAGAATAGCAAATGAGTTTGCCCTCTTCCTCCTCCTAAAGAGGCAACATTCCACACTATATTTCTGCCTAATTCCAGAAGAATTGCTTTCACATTTATTAACTGTTATAACACAACTATATTTATTGCTTCAATTCAATACACTGACGTAGAAATACACACCCGTGGATTTTGGCTTCCAAGCTGCCTGTGGAGGCTTAGATTTATTTAAATGCACCCAAACAAAGTATTTCATTAAAGGGCTAAGATTTGTCATGGATGTTTCATCAGCACCTCCGTCTCTGCACACAACATTTTTGACAATTGCAGGTGTCCCAAATAGATATTTGTTTTATCAATCCAAGTATGAAAGCAGTTGGATGAAAACACATGTTGCATTTTAACAGATTTTTAAAAATGCACCCCAAATATTGATTCAAATGTTATTTTCTCCTCCTATACAAAAGTTTGGTTCATATAGGAAGATGTCCCACCCTGGACCTTCCACAGATATATAAACCTCCCTTGCCTAGTTTCCAATATACCTCACAACATCTGAGGATGCCTGCCATAGATGTGGATGAAACGTCAGGAGAGAATGCTTCTGGAACATGGCCATACAGCCCGGAATATGAACAGCAACCCAATGAGTCTGGCCATGGAAGCCTTCGACAACACATTGTTGCAAAACTATATGCAGATGTGTAAAAATTGGCACATGCATTTGAATTATTGTTGGGGGCTGCTCTCTGAGCTGAACTAAAATAAAAAAAAACAATTTCTGTCTTTTTTGGGCACATGTTTGTGTGAGTGAGTGAGTGAGAGTGAGATAGAGAATTTCTATCTTTGTGGTAAGTTTTGAATGCCTTCAAAAGAAAAAAAACTTTCCTGTTCAATGTGAGGTAAGAAAAAAATGGAAATTTGTCCAAAATTGTGAGCATTGCTGACTCGTAATTGCTGATTTACTGGATCACAGAACCCTTTAGAAAAACCGATATTTTGTTCTACAATGTACCAGAGCAGTTGCTACAAGTTAACTGACTGGGATGAAATTATGAGAGTGGGGGGACGGTGGACAAAGTATCTGTTAAAGAACATGAGGGTGGGGTTTTAATTTCCATTCACACCAGGGCAGTTAACAAGCCATTTAGATTTTTCATCACATTCAATGTGCATCTGGGATCATTTAAGGCAGACAAGTTAGCTCATTACATCAATAAACAGGATAATAAAATGTTTGGTTTTTCCATCCTACCAGGGGATTCTGAGGTTCAAAAATATATGATAAATGCTATTCAGTGGTGCAATGGAGCACAATTGCATCATCTTATAAAAGGACCTTCCACATTTGCAGATGTGTTTAATATATTTTCTCTAGGAATCTCCTTGTCCTCTAGCAACATGACATGATCAATTTCCTCCATAGAGTAGGAGGAGCAAGAGGATCAATAATTTTATAGAAAGGACACTTCTCTAGGCATTTGCAGCTTCACCAGCAGAAATTGACTCTAGAGCTACACTGGAGACTAGGACGCGAAACAATGGCTTCATACTACAAGAAAGGAGATTCCTTGTGAACATGAGGAAGAACTTCCTGACTGTGAGAGCTGTTCAGCAGTGAAACTCTCTGCTGCCCCGGAGTGTGGTGGAGGCTCCTTCTTTGGAAGCTTTTAAAGAGAAGCTGGATGGCCATCTGTCAGGGGTGATTTGAATGCAATATCCCTGCTTCTTGGCAGGGGGTTGGACTGGATGGCCCCTGAGGTCTCTTCCAACTCTTTGATTCTATGATTCTATGAAATATTCCTAGACAGGTGTTCTATCAGGTAAAAAAAGTTTTTTTTTTTAAAAAAATGCAGTTTTTCCACTTTTGTAAGTTCTGTGTTCCTAATGCTCCTAATGTTCCTATGAATGCAAAGAGCTGACTGTACTGCTATCACCCCCCCCCCCCCAAAATCAAACTAGAGCTCAGATAGATGGCTGCAACTCTGGAATTCCCCAAAGTACCAAATCAAATCCATTTCCCACCTTTGCCCATTCACCCACTAATGATATTATTGAGACAGAAGTTCTTTATTTTAATAGAAATCTTATATAATAGAAACTGATAGTGTGAAGTATCCACTACTAGGCTCCAATTGGTGGAAAAGCAGAATCCAGGAGAAATGAGAGATAGTGAGGAACCTTGCACTTGCTCTCTAACCCGACCAGCAGGGGCGGCTCAACCCATTACGCAAAGTAAGCATTTGCAGTATAGCTGATTTTGCCCAGAGGCACTCTTGAGGTGCTCATAGGAGAAAATAGACCTTGACATATGCGAGTTGTAGTTACTGGGATGTATAGTTCACCTACAATCAAAGAGCATTCTGAACTCCACCAATGATGGAATTGAACCAAATATGGCAAACAGAACTCCCACGACGAACAGAAACTATATATCAGTGATTGGTTGGGGGGGGGGGGCAAAATACTGTTTGCTTATTGTTGAAAATTACCTAGGGCCACCTCTGCCCACCAGCCACCTAAAATCAGTTCTGAAGGACAGAGAACCCCTTGGAAATTGTTTTCCAGTTTGCATGGAGAGATGTGATGAAGAGAAAAGGGAAGAAAGTCCTGTTACGTTGGTGCTATAGCTCCAGCATGATGCCAGTTCAGGGGCATTATTACTCAAGAGAAATATTCATTTCCTAGCAATGTCATGGTACCATTCTAGGTCTCTATGAAAAATCGGTTCAATGAGCAAAGATTCATCAACTAGAGATGGTTCTGATGGAATTACTACATTCTTGTTAATTGAAGAGGGCCAATCATATCAGACTCTCATTCAGTATATTCTTCTTCTTTTAACTACAGCAAGGAAGCATCAGTTTCCAGTCCCCAGATAACGTAATATATTGGACTGCCTTTACTGAGTAGTGAAAGGTTAAAAAATGAAACAGAAAAACCTAAGCTACAGAGTGGTAGCCCAGTTGCTGGTCCCATTCTCTCCTCTCCTCATGCCACTGATAAACAGGGGCAGCAAAAAGAGGGATAAACGATCCCTGTGTTATTCCATGATTCTGCAACCGCAGTGTAAGATCTCCACTATTAGATGTGTCAGGCTTGCCTATAGACATTATATCTCAGTAGGAGAGGAAATGTAAGCATAAAGGCTTGGAATGCTTGTTAAGAACATGAAAAGAGTCATGTTAGATCAGACCAGTTCAGAATTTTGTTTCCACAGCACTCCAGCTGGGCCTCTTTCACACTACAAAATAATGTGCCATGACTCCACCCTATATAACCTGGAGTTTTTACTTTGGTGAGTCCCTAGAACACCTCTCCCTTTACTGTAATTCAACATATTAAAATGCAATCACGGTGCTATAATTCTGTGATGTAAAAGGGCTCTTGATTAAATCCAGATTACTGTTTCCTCAGCAGTCCAGATTTCACAGGAATCGGCTAGTAGTCTATAGGAAGCTCACAAGCAAAATATGAAAACAATAGCACCCTCACTTTGATTTCCTCCAGAAAATGCATAATGCACATTGCATATTTCTGCTGATACTGAAAGGAATATTTATCAATCATTACTGAAAGACAGCAATGCCTTAATACCCTAAAGGCACCAGATCTAATCTGAGTTTAGAAACTAAGCCAAGTTCTAGTTAGTATTTGGATGGGAGATTGCCAATGAATACCAGGTGCTGTGTGCTGTATTTTGAAGAAAGGAACCATTCCTGAATATTTCTTGTAAAAAAAAACCCTATGGAATCCATGGACTTGCCATAAGTCAACAGATGACATGAAGGAACATATATAGACACTAATAGATACTGGGAAGGGCAGTTGATGTCTCAGGCTTGTAAAGAAAGGCAAAAATGGAAAGGGATCCCAGATCAAAGTAGTGCTACACACACACATGCATACACACACATACACATATCTCTATCTATCTATCTATCTATCTATCTATCTATCTATCTATCTAAACGCTCTGTGCATAATGAGTACCTTAAAAACAAAAGAACTAATGAACGAAATCACACCAAATTTGGCAACAAAATGTCTCACTACACAAGGAGTGACCATCACTCAAAAAATATGATTTTGTCATTTGGGAGTTGTAGTTGCTGGGATTTATAGTTCACCTATAATCAAAGAGCATTCTAAACTCCACCAATGATGGAATTGAACCAAACTTGGCACACAGAACTCCCATGACCACCAGCGAAAATACTGGAAGGGTTTGGTGGGCATTGACCTTGAGTTTTGGAGTTGTAGTTCACCCTATATCCAGAGAGCACTGTGGACTCAAACAAACATGGCAGGAGTATTCCATATGCCCAAATATAAACATAGATGGTGTTTGGGGGAAGTAGACCTTGACATTTGGGAGTTGTAGTTACTGGGATTTACAGTTCACCTACAATTAAAGAGCATTCTAAACTCC